CGAAATCCCTGCTTCTAAATTCTGACAAAACTGAGGTTATTCTACTCTGCCCTAAAAATTTAATGATGTCTAACCAGATACTTACTCTGGATGGCATTACCTCAGCCTCCAGTAATGCTGTGAGGAATCTTGGAGTCATTTTTAATCAGGATATGCCCAACAATGTGCATATAAACAGGTATGTAGGACTGTGTTCTTTTATCTGTGCAGTATCTCTAAGATTAGAAACATCTTGGCTCAGAGTGATGCTGAAAAGCTAGTCCACCCATTTCTTCTACTTTTTGTTTCCTTATTTTCAGGCTGTTCTAAAAGCTCGCTAAACACCCTCTAGTTGATCCAGAATATTGAAGTACTGATGCATTAGTTTGTGTTTGTTCTTGCCTCTCTGTGCTCTCCTTCTTCATCCCTTTTCTTCAATGTAACTGGTTGGAGCAGATGGCTGCCCCTCCCCCTCCCTGAGCCTGAGTTTTAATCCTGTTTAAAGGGAGTTCTTCCTTCTCGCTGTCTCCAAGTGCTTGCCCATATGGATCTTCTGTAGGATCTTAACCTTACAACGTAAAGCACCCCAATGCAACTGTTGCTTTGAGTTGCTGCTATATAAATAATTAAATAAATAAAATAAGTTAAAGAAAAATAAAATGAAGAAATTAGATCCCCTTAAACACTTCATGTCCCATAGAGCAACTGATATGCTAAACATTATACAGTATACAAAATACATTGTGTAACTAATGACACTTCTTTGCAGGCTATTAAAAAGACTTCATGATGTTTTGCTTAGAGACAGCAAGTCCCAATTTAAATGCAAATATTTGTGCTCTCACATGAAAAATTGTGATTTTATTTGTGTTGAGGTTTTTATTTGCTCATTAGCACAGCCAGGAAGATTTTTGAATCTGGTGTTACAGTCGTATCAAAGTCCGCAGATTACAAAAAACTGGGGCACGAATCCACCAGCCATCACAAAATTTCACTGTATTTAGATTTAAAAAAACAAAAACAAAATGAAACATTAAAAAAAAGAGAAACTAATCAAAATAAATTAAAATTATCTACACTAAAAGACTTTAGTGTTAGGCTTTGGTGAATATGTTTATTGAGACTGGTATGACCACATGACAGTCAGCTCTTTCACAGTGTGACTGACTGTTTGTGTTGTACTCCAAACGTCTTCAAACTTGCTCCTGGCAAACATTAGAAATCAAAATGTTACACCCAACAGACTCTAAAGTGAAACTCGCAAACCCGAGAGTGAAAAAACCAACCGAAACACAACTGTGCTCAAAACAAACACTGTTGAGGATGTTGTGTAGAGTCTCAATGTAAACCTTGACAAGGTCTCGGTACAAGGAAACCATCAGGTCGCTAAACTTGGATTCGGATTCCTTGGACTAATAAAACTGGTTTCCATCCAATGCGAGAGACTTTAATCAGTTGGTGGAGCACCTAAAATACAAGTTTACCTTCTCAATGCAGCAAGAAAGGCCCCAAAAAGTCTTAAAGACACACTTTCTGTCAGCATCCTTCAACACTGTCGCTCTTCCCAGACAGCGGGGTTGCCGAGTGTCTAATATGCACACAGACACTCCATGTACAACATATTGGTGCCTTTGAAACATTTATTTGAAGGAGACGTTTACATTGGCCAACATCCGTGTGCACACACCCTGCTCCTGCAACAAACCAGTTTACAAATGGAAAAAGTCCCTCTGGGCTTTAGAGCAAAGTTTAGTTGAAGAGTGACTTAAGCTTCAGCTGAACACACCCTTAAACAATGTGCGTGTGCAGGCATGAGTGGAGGTGTTACGTATGGGCTTGCAACGGTGAAAAGCGTTCTCTGTTCCTGATGCAACCCTACCTGTGGCGAACTCGCCAATTTCAAGTGTTATGGCTGTGATTTACTAGTAACCAAGGAGACTGCTGCTCCTGTTCTGTATCCAGGTGATGGCGGGATGAGTCAGGCGGGCTCGCCCTAACGCCCTTGATTCTTACTTCTGCTGAGCTGTGACCCTGCACCTCAGGTGAAACACATGACCACATTATCAACAAACGGGATGCAAATTCTTATGGGAAATGAGATTCATAAATCTGGGAGGTGTGACTTCTCATCGCTTCCAGGTGTGCCGGAGCCCCACCTTAATCACAGGGAGGGACGCAGCGAAGCACAGCAGACGGGAGGGATCTAAAAGCCAAGAATTTGTGGAGGTACAGGTTTCCAACCTTCTAAGCAAGTTGAAAACAATCCTCTCTAGTGGTGCTTTTGGACCTCGTCCTTTTTTTCCCCTTCTCCCTTGTGCTCATTTCTCTTGCTGGCAGAGAAATGAGCACATCATCAAGATAAGAGGTGCAGAACATCAACAAGAGTTTACCGCAGCTTGAACTTGAGACTTGTTGAGTGTAATTCGGAGGAGGTGGAACTGCTTATACTTGCATCCCAGAGGATAAAAGGTAAGTGCATTCGATAAAGGTTGGGTCAGGCTTGTGAATCTATTTATATTTTGATTTGATGTGTAATAATAGACATCAAAATAATGTTTGGAATTGCTAAAAACCTCTCTAACCCCCCTGTGAGCAAGTGATGGGGCAAGGTTGAGGACCCGAGGCCTTTTATCCTGTGCTAAAACTGCAGAAAAGGTCATATTTAAATCTCTGGTGCTGGAACAAAGACTCCACTGTGTAATGCGGGAAGTGCTCCTCAGCTATCACAAGTGACTATCTGACTGTCTCTCACCTCTAATCTTAACTGGTTATAACCGGCAATCGTGTTGTGTGACGGCGCTCGCTACGTCTCCTTTTCTGTCCCGGCCTCGCCTCCATGTTGCAGCTGGTTTTTCCTCCAAGCTTTGCAACGGCTCATTCATTTCCCTGCTTTGTTCTGGCATGTTTATACACTCCCTTCTCCTCCTGTGCTCTTCACACGAGCTACTGTCAAACCTCTTCTTCCTTTTGTCTCTTCCATGCTGTGACCTCTGTCATATTAGCTTCCATTTCGCCATGCTTGATTTGCAGACTTTTAATGCGTTTCGGACAAACTTCTCCCGACTGACAGTTTTGCAGTCAAACATGCGTGAAATGTATTTTACTCTTTTTTGTTTCAGGATTAAAGACCTGCCACATCAAAGGACGGTTAAACAAAGGAGGACCGAATCCTCGTGTGGATTACTATAATGAATATGGCCCTTTCATCCAAGAACCTGAAATCCCTTTCTCCCCTCCTGTTCCTCTTTTATGCCCCTCTCACCTGTCTGTGCCAGTCAGCCAACAGCACCTCAACCACCACCACAACCGTTTCCTCAAATGTTACATCCCTGATCGGAGTCCGAGGCTGCGGCAACGGGCTGCATCCCATGTACAGGTATCTGTGTGACCGCCGGGAAGCATGGGGGATTGTGCTGGAGACCCTGGCCACTGCGGGCTTCCTGCTAAGTATAGGGCTCCTCTTAACCCTGCTGATCTGGTCCCTGTGTGTCTGCATCTCATCCCGCCATTATCGAAAAACCAACATCGGAGGCATGGTGGCCTCCATGTCCCTGTTCCTGTTGGCCACGGCGGGGATCTTCGGCATCACCTTCTCTTTCATCATCAGTCTCACCCCGCAGACGTGCCCCACTAGGCTGTTCCTCTTTGGCGTGCTCTTCTCGCTGGCATTCTCCTGCCTGCTGGCTCGCTGCCTTGCTCTGTTGGGCTTTACAGCAGCTCGAGGCTGGGGAGAGCCCGCTGTGGCTCTGGGGCTCTTCACTGTGCAAGTTATCATTGCCACAGAGTGGCTGATCATCGTGTTGGTCCGCGATAACAAGCGCTGCGAGTACAGCCAGGGGGAATTCGTCATGCTACTGATCTACGTCCTGTGCTTACTGGCTATCAGCTTGATTCTTTCCCTGCACCTCCTGTGCCGCAATTATTGCACTTACAGCTACAGCTACACAGGACCCATCAACCAGCAAGGGAAGCTGCACAGTGGGCTGGTCTTCGTCACACTGCTTCTCTCTGCCTGCATCTGGGTGGTGTGGATCACTATGTTCACCAGGGGGAACCCCGAGCTGGGCCGTCGGCCAAATTGGGACGACCCAGTAATTAGCATTGCCTTGGTAGCAAATGGCTGGGTGTTACTGATTGGGCATGGGTTGTCCCAGGTCGCCTTCTTCTGCAATGGGAAGGTGAAGTCCAAGGATCTCCCTTTGAGCTTTGCAGGATGGACCAGCCCCAATGCTGATATGCCAGGACTAGGAAGCCAGAAGGAGGGGAAAGACAACGGAAGTTTTGAGAATGACTTGGAGAACAAGAGAGGTGAGATGTGGTTGTGTTGATTAAAAAAAAGTGTGACTTACAGTTAGATGATTAGGGACATAAAGATAATATGATTATTGAAATTATCTTTTGAAATTGAATATTTAAATCCTCACCACATTCCTAACCGCACCTGGTTGACTAGCAACCCAAGAGATATCTCATTTTCTTTGACAAAGACCAAAAAATACCAGTAAATATTCACATATGTACAATAGAGCTGGTAAGGTAAGGTAAGGTAATAGAGCTGGTAGAGCTGGTAATCCTTAAATCACATTTAAGGATTTATACTAAGTCACGTGTACGGAAGAATTCAGGATCGACCTGACAGTTTAAAAGATGCTCATCAGTACAAGCCTTTTATTCTCAGGACTTTATAGGATATGATGATTATTTAATAAAAGACCACCTGGGATCCACTCTAATCGGCAATGATTATTTCTTTTTAATCAATTTAATGCCCCACTTTTTTTGCACAAGTCACTCCTCATCAGGCTTCCTCTGATCCAAACACAAAGGGCCACGAAGCAGGAGCTACTCATTCAAAATCAATTGCACCAGTTAGCATTACTCATTACTTAGTGTTAGGTGTAAGTACTTCATTATGTCTCCTAATGTCTCCTTAAGTAACGTGATGTGTCCTAATCAAAATCTCACTGGTTCCTTATTACTTCCTCATTAGTTTACTACGAGTCCTTAGATTAGGAGCCAAATCTACATCATCTAACTAAAGTTTGCGTGCACCACAGATCCATAAAGGATGTTCTTTCATTCTCATTTTAAAGGCGCAAAACCAGGAAAAAAACAGAATAGACTAACTATGATCAATAAGGACACATTAGGCAAATGGCTTTCCTCAAACATGAGGTAAAAATGAACCCAACCTTAGAAAATGACTCCTGCTATCTGTCAGCTCTCACTGTGCGCCTTTACGATGAACTGACTGTGTAACGCGTCTCCCTTCAGGCCGGAGAGCTGAGCAATCGCTGCGATCGCCCTACGAGTCGGGATTCTCCATGACGGTGAGTGCTGAAGGATAAACCATCCGACTCCTGTTAGTCCAACATTCAACAGTGTGACCTTTTAACTACGTGACTGAGCTATATTGTAGGATTAATTGGACTTAATCGAGGGTATTAATTGCAGCGACGTTTTGTGTTTCAGGAAATCGACACCGACAAAGATTACACCATTCCTCGCCCTCAGACCACCAACTACAATGAACCCTACGATGAATATTATGGACCTGAATAAAACCTTATCTGAATAAGGCCTTACACACACGCGCGTGTACTCAAAAGCTGAAGGTAGCCCACCTCATGGCCTAATTTGTACTTTAATGTGCAAAATGTAAATATTTTTAGTATTATAAGAAATGGTGTTTTAAGTGTGTTAGTAGGATTTAAAATCATATGTCGCCCCCAAAGAGAGCAGGCTCAGCAGCATGACTCATCTGCTTGAGTTTCATCATCGAGGCTGGACGGGTTCAGATAGTCCAGCTTTGTTCTGGCAAATCCACGGGACGAATTCTCAACAGTGGGGCATCTCAGTCACGGTGTGTGTGTTGCTACTCGGAGATGGCAGATAATAGCCCCGAGGTGACAGGAGGCGTGAAAGTGTCGCTCTGAAGGTGCCAAACTGCTGAGCGGAGACATCCACGAAGGAACGAGAAGACAACTGAGAGGAACGAGAAGAGAGAACGAGGTGAGAAAGGAAAGGAAGGTTGGATCAGACGAAATGAGACAAGACAGGAGGAGATAGGACAGGAGATCCGTCAGCGCTGTGGGAGGGCTCGTGCCATCACTGATCAGCATCTTCATATTCAAAGTTACGTCACAGTTACACGTTTCTGCAAA